CCCCAAAACCCCAAAACCCCAAAACCCCAAAACCCCAAATCTCTTTATAATATTTTTAAAATTATTAGCGATCTTTATCAATGGATAGATCCAGATTCTCCTCAGCGCTTGGAAGACCTTCAGGGGACGACAATCAAAGAGTAATAAATGACAGAAGAGAACTAGAGGACGACCCCCATTTCAGAGATCCAAGCATCAATATTTTTAGAAACGAAACTTCATTTACACACTCTCCAATTTTACCTAGAAATGATAGAAGAAGACCCAGGGATTACGAGTAAGCCAAGTTTCAACCCTTAGAGGTGATAATTTAAGTTACCCATTTGACAATAGGAGAATATACAATCTGACAACAAGATTTCCGAGATTAGAGATGAGAAATTTGCTTTTCAGAGACTTTAATTATCCAAATGGTATGATCGTTAAATTTCCTTGAATCTCATAATGATTTCTAATTTTTGATATTTTAGGAAGAAATGATAGTCTAGTTTCAGGACTTTCGAGAGAAATTCAGGAAGAGGCTAAAGAAATTCCAGATGAAGCTGTGGGAGAGGACAAAAAGGGGCCTGATCTAGGTATTCTCACCTGCACTATTTGCTACAGTAAAGAATTCAAAGGGATCATGATTTGAAGGTTCTGCTCCTCAACAGCATGAAAATTGTGCTGGGACAAGATCATGACCAATGAAAAATAAATGCCCTTTCTGAAGAAAGATGATTTACCATTCAGACCTAATTAAAAGTAAACTAGCTGATGAGCTTAAAGAGATCCAAGAGAAAGAAGCTGAAGCTCATGATAAGACATGTCCAGAGCATGGAACTGACGGTAGCATCTACTGCAAAGATTGTAGCCACTTTCTATGAGTCCAGTGATTAACTGCAGGCATCCATACTGGACACTCATTAGCAGATATTGAGAAGGATCAAGCTCTGAAAAATGATCTGATAAAAATGCAACACTTAAGGAGCAAAATTGAATCTTCATGAAGTTCGTTGAAGGAAGCTATTCAAGATCATTCTGAATATTGGAATGTAGAATCATACCAACTTGACCAAATGGCTCAGCATTACAAGGATACAATTATCACCAAGATTGATAGATACTTCGAAAAGGCTAAAGAGAAACTAATTAACGAAAAGTTAAAGCTTCAAAAAGCTACTAATGATCTATCAAATATTCAGCAAGTGCAGGAGGAGGTTTTTACTCAGCATTACCAAAAGCTTGGCTTCGATAATCTACACCAAAAGGTGAATGACTCATTAACCACAAGCAATGCAGCTAATATAATCGGCTCCCAGGATACCCAGAGTAAGAATAATCCTTCTATTTTACTTAATCTTTACTTCTAGCCTTGACTGCTCCAACTCAAGATGACATGAAAGACCACTATGAGCTTACATCCTTCAAGAAGGAAGGAGAGAATTGCTCATCAGAGATCAAGAAGAATCTAGAATTGTGCTTTAAGGACGTCTTCAAATAATTTGTTCAATAAAGTTGCTTTCAATATCGAAATATCGCCAAGGGGTTTTGGGGTTTTGGGGTTTTGGGGTTTTGGGG